GTGGTCCCCACATAAATAGAGCTAAGCTGTGTCCATTTGAGTTAGCTTAAATCAACCTGTTCTTGTAGTGTAGCCCTGCCCTAAGTTAAGAGCATTAAAAGTCATAGTGATTGTAAAAGCCCATTTAATAAAGTGATGTACCTTCTCTCCTGTCCTTTCCCACTGCTTAGAAGCAACTTTTTTCTAAACTTCCACTGCTAAAACCTCTGTTGGGTTCACTTCTCCATCTACTCTCCCAAAGTAAACCCATCTCCTTAAAACCACCTCTGCTTCTCAGACGTAACACTTTCATGATAGGGCTTTCAATTAGTCAAGGTATAAAAGCTTTACTGCTACTTCTGTGGCAGCATCTCCTTTTAAGTATTGCATCCTAGTGACCATGGATGAGCCTTCCTAGGGTAACTACATTGGAATCCATGGTGTTAACCACAGTGAAAGACTACAATCTGGGATGCATGTATCTGCCGTGAACTAGCCCATGGTTTCATTTTGCAACAGCTGTTCTGGTTGTGCAGAAGGGGGCATTAAGGCCCATAGCTGACAAAACAGGATTTTAAAAGCCATACCAGCTGTGGCTTGATGAGCCTTTTTGGCTTGATTTCTCACTAGTGGCAGGTGGTACAAATGTAGACCAGTCAGCTCTCCTTGCTTAGAGTAAATATAGGAAAGTGTTTAACAAGCCTGCAGTTACCAGTGACCTATCAAACACTAGTGTAGATCATGTCTTTGGACTTTCAGACAAAGTCTGCTATCTAACAATTTAGGCCAGCATATGGGTTGATAACATTAGTGGCAAATGAGAAGCAGTACAAGTCTTGACCATCTGGATACTGAGCAATACTTTGAGATGGGGATGGCTGCCTGCTGGCCCAAATTAAATGAAAAACTAGTCCGCAGTCCTATTTGGTTAAATTCATTGTACATGTTTATTTCATAATCACGGAAAGGCTGAAAATTTTGAGGCAATGCCAATTAATGGTTCTGGAGATGGCACTATGTATCCAAGACGCATACTAACCAAGGCTAATCAGTACCACAGAATGGTCTCGTGTCTTAGTGCTTCAATAATTGATCAATTCAGTACCACGGCCATATTTACAGATACAAAAATATTAGCGATCAGCAATATGCACACTCTCTTCAGAGAGTTTTGTTAGAGTAAGATTTCTCACTATGGAAGAGCCCTGCAAAATTAAAACAAAATACAAGGAAAATGTTTAAAGTTTTCATTATACACAATCCTAATTTTTACCTTTTAACTAAGTTTTGTTTCATACAAATAAATCTTCCAAAAATACTGTGCAAATTCTGACAAAGCTATGATACAGTATGTACAAATAAAATACCAGAATGATTATTTTTTGTTATTGCTAGAATTTTATTTGGTTAAGGAATTTATACAGAAGTGTATAAAAGGGGTGTGGAAACTGGTCAGAAGAAGCGAGTGTCAACTTCTACTTGGCTTAGAAGCCAGGTTATACTGCATTTCAAAAGTTCACATCAATGAAAGCATCTTCCTATTGGGCAAAGCCAACATGCCTGAAGCAGGACCTACAAGTGATGGTGAAATTGACTAGATCATCTAGGAAAGAGTTCTATTTTGGAAATTCTTGACTGATTTGAATACTTCCATAGAATATTTTCTTGTAAAAATTATAAACATCCCATTCAAAGTAACATAAAATTAACAACTATGAACAGACTTCCAGATAGCCCATGTTACGAGACTATCACTGTATTTCACAGTGCACTAAATCAATTCGAAAGACCAAATGGCAATATTAGTATGTTCTTCTCTGGATGTGGATGTTTGTTTCAAGGCCATAGCAAATTTAAAGAAGAAAATTTATATTGCACTCATCAATAAAAAAAATTATTCTTACTCTTGCACCCACACCTGCCTTTTATCCCCCTTTAAACGAGAAGAATATACAATCATCTGAAGAGCCTAAGAACTGTGAACAGTCACACAGCAAGGAAATTGCATGCAAGCTCTCTTTAGTGTAGGCTTTCCAATCTGTGGGTGATGCTGCAGCACAAAGAGGCATGTTCAGAAACAAACTGCTCTTGGTTGTGGATAGCCTAACAGCATCCTGTTGAAAATAACTCCAATGACCAGTCAGGAAAACCATATTCATGCATAGAAGCCTGCCAGATACAGGGACTATAAGGGTGCAAACAATTTGTCATGATGGTAGCCGGCAGCAGCTTCAGGCGACAAGCTTGCTTTTAAATTTTAAGAGTCAATTAAAATGTTCCAATATTTCCCTCTTATAGCCACCCTCCTCCCACAAATTATAATCCTGAATGCAACAAAATTAGAACTGGGTAAGAAGCAGTTACCTTATCTAATACCAGTCGTGTCATTATTCTGATGGGCCCAGAATGTAAAAAACACCGAACAATTAAGTTTCTCATGCCTTACCTCTTCAAATGAAAGCATGAGAAATCATGCCTTGCATCTGCCTCACTTTGAACTCAAATTCCATCCCTGGATGCACTAGCAATTTAAAATCCAAGTGGAAACTGAAATACCCTCTGCCTACAGACTATCCGACATTTATGGTTTACACACCAGCATGGTTATCAACACAGCCCTGAAAACACACACCCCTACAATATGCATAATTTATCCTATTTCAAATATTTACAAGCAGAAAAGGCCTATCTTTAAAAGACAGATCTCTTCTGGCTCTATATAAAGTGCAGCTCTCTAATTTAAGGCAAATTTATGTGAACTATAAAACATGGGTTTGTCCCGGTGTACCAATTTAAACACAAGAATGCCCCTTAAGGGAAAGAAAATGTTGGGTGAAAATTCCTAATGTAGTTTGACTTTACGAGCTTCCTGGAATCTTGAAAGAACTTCCTAACATTATGCCATTGATAAAACCCTTTAAAAGTCTTAAATATATTCAAAGAATGCAAATTAAAAAAGGTGGCAACAAGTACATTAAGTTTAGCTCCAAAGATCTGAAGAACACTGCGCAAAGTGCAGATGTAGCTTTTGCAGTTTTCAGTAGCTATAGTAAACTTCATCAATACTGCGTTTCTAAATGTGTTTGCTATACACCTAAAGCTAATCTCAGTTCTGGTAATGAATATTTTTCATCCCCGTCTGTATCAAATTCCTTCAAGTTCTGTGACTCCTGTATGGCAAAGCCAACCAGAGTTTGGAGATCTTCCAGGGATAGCTTTCCATCAATGCCTTGATCTGTCTTTTCAAACAAACCCTGAAGATCTGCAAGAAGGGTAAACAGCTGTAAGGAGCAAGCTCTTAAATTACATGAAATTATAGTACAAGTTCTGCTCCTATTTTACTACATTATAGGGCCCACTCCAAGCCTGGAAAGCTAAACAAAGCTTTAGAAGATGTTCTTTGTATACATACAGTAGATTCAACACAAAGCGCAAACCAGTAACCATGACAATTCAGATTGCAAGTATAAGCTCTGGTGAAGGAGTATTTCACTTAGTAAAGCTGAACACAAAAGCGTTTAAATTGATATTTCTACTTATACTTAACTCACTCCTACAACCAAACCTTGATAAAAACATGAGGACTTAGTTTACCATCCATGATAGAAGTCTTGGAGTTAAAGTTGCTGTACTTTCTATGCAGCTCAGATGGAGGGACAAGTGTCTATTCTCCACACATTTTCTGAAGCTAAAACATTACATTTTTACCAATGCCAATTTGCACCATCTTACAGCTATATCTCGCACCCTTGACACCTTCCATTCCTCTCTTTCTCCCCCATCCTGCTTGATACATCTTGCATGAGACCCCTTGTACACAAAACAGTCTTTCATTTCATGGAAGGGCCCCCTCTCCTCCAAGTCACTAAAGCCCATCTCCTTCCAGCTATTCTTCTTTCTCCTTGACTTGCCAACATACTTTCTATACCAGGGATGGGCAGTAATTTGTGATGGCGGGGGCGGGGCAAGCCAAGATTTTGGAAAGTGGCCAAGGGCTGCACTTTTCTATGGTGGGGGTGCAGGGTCTGGGATGGAAGTTGGGTGCACGAGGGAGCGTGGGGGTAGGTACTAGGAGAGGGTATGGCGTCTAAGAGAGTTTGGGTGAAGGAGAGGATTGTGATCTGGGGCAGGGGACTCGGATGCAGGGTCCAGCAGGCAGCATGGGTGCAGGAGAGGATTCCGGCTTGGGAGAGTAGAGTAGGAGTGCAGTGTCTGGGAAGGAGATGTGACCTGGGAGAGGATAGCGCAGGGGGTTTTGGTGATCTGGGGCAATAGGGGGTGTTGGCCTGGGCTAGTGAGTTGGGATGGGAGGGACTGGGTTGCTAGAGGTAGGCTCTGGCTCAGAGGTGCTTACCTAGGTGGCTCTTGGCCAGCAGCGCTGTAGGACCCCAAGGCAAGCTCCCTACCTGCTGCAACCCCAGGCTGTTAGAAACACCTGGCTGATCCCTGTAGCTCTCTGCTCTAGGTGCCAGGGAGTGGGGGAGAGGATCTGTGCACTGCAGCCACCCCCAGCAAAATTTCTTTGCTCCCACTGGCAAGTGTCCCCAGCAATCAGAGCAGTGCCATAGGGAGCAGCCAGTTGTTTAAAGCGGGGCGAGGCTGCTCTGTGTCTGAGGGTCTTGGTAGGGTGGTCTGCAGGCTGGATCCAGTTCATGGGCCACATCTTGCCCAGCCCTGTTCTATAGGTTCCCTTTCACGAACAACTCCCACGTTCAGTCCGAGCGATATTATACAACAACTATGCACGGTCTGTTAGTCTGCGTGTACAGGAAGTGTTTATGAAAATCAAACATGCAGGCCAAGATTTACCTTTTATGGTGGCAATTCCTGGTAACGACAAGCGTCTTGGGTGTCCATTTCTCTCCATGTTGCCTCCAACCGATCTTGATGCAAGTTTTGGAAGATTTGGAGGCTTTGATGTAGCAGTCTGCATTTTCCCAGCTGTTAAAAATTTTACACAAGTGTTATAAATGCTTGCAGTTTGACTGCACTTCAGGGCATAAGCAGTTCTCTAGCTGAGGGGCTAAAGAACAAAGTTTCCTAATGGCTAGATTAGGGATTTGAAAGTGTAGCCGTGAACACGGTTAACCAATGAGCCTGGGCAGCGAATGAGGCAGAAGCAGCAGTATGGGAGCGAGGGTGTGGGAGACTGCAGGAGGGGCAGGCAAGTAATTTATTTGAACACACACATTTTAACACCTCTAGGCTAGAAACCATAATTGTTCACTTCAGGGTTTCTTGCACCTTCGTCTGCATCATGAGGTGCTACATTTTTTGGAGATAGGCCATTTTCCTAATTCCTATGCAGATCTCACTGTTGCTCTTCTCTCTTTCTGGTGAGAGAAAATCCTCTTTTTTTGGGAAGGAACTACCAAGTTTACCAATTATGCAAATGAGAATTAGCAAGGTTCAACTACAGTAGAAAGTGGCCATTTGACATACATGTTTGGAGGACTGGAAAGAGCAGTACACTTAATTTGGCTACTAAGCACCAATTAATATTAAAATGACTTCATGGCACTAAGACTACTAAGCAACATTTCATTCTATGCGAATAAGGTCCTATATATTTACTTACATAAATGGAAATGAGACACGGCATAAGTTTAGGGGGTTCTTCTAAGCATGGTGGGGAAACCTCATTTAATTTCTCCACATTATATTTTGAACTCGAAGCAAGAGCTCTCTGTTTTAGTACCATCAAATTCTTATTATTTTAAACACATGGTCTTTGACTAATATAGTAAGAAAATATTAATTATTCACCTTTGCTACTTATTTTTTGAACTATAAAGTAATCTTTCAGATTTACGTGACATTACTACACAATAGTCTCACCTCTTTTTGATGCCTCAAGAAGTTTTTCATTTTCTGGCTTATTTGTGAGAGCATTGATCAGCTGAAGCTTCTCTCTTAGTTTTGATACCTGAGAATCTACGTGTTCTATTGTCTGCACAAAACAGGAAAATATTTCTTAAGAACAACCTTTCTTCGGCAAGTACAGCACAGCAAGTAGAGAGAATTCACTTTACAACAGAGCTGTATACTTCTGAGAGGCTGTGTGTGTTTCCAGGACAAGGAAGTTTTAGTTAAGAGGGAACAAAAAATTTCAGGGAATTATATTCCATCTAAGTACAGGCAGTCCCCGGGTTACGTACAAGATAGGGACTGTAGGTTTGTTCTTAAGTTGAATCTGTATGTAAGTCGGAACTGGTGTCCAGATTCAGACACTGCTGAAACTGACCGCCAGTTCTGACTTACATACAGAATCAACTTAAGAACCCCAGGCGTCCCCAAGTCAGCTGCTGCTGAAACTGATCAGCAGCTGATTCCAGGAAGCCCGGGGCAGAGCAACTCTGCCTGGGGCTTCCTGTAGTCAGCGCTGGTCAGTTTCAGCAGAAGCTGACTTGGGGACGCCTGGGGCAGAGCAGCTGGGGTGCT